TATGTATGTATATATATATATATATATGTATGTGTGTATATATATAGTATATATATTTATATATATATGTATGTATATATATATATATATATATTACTGCATATTATTTATACATATTTATGATTTAGTATTTTGCTATTCAGAATATTGTATTGTTACCAATTTTAAGGAGTAACATTTCGTAATAAAGTTAATTATGAATAATGTATTATTTTTCCCTTCAGACAACGACTGCATAATCTTCGGAATATCTGTTTGAAGTGCTGTTACACACACATACACACACACACACAAACACACACACACACACACACACACACACACACACACACACACACACACACACACACACACATACACACACACACACACACCTTTTATTGGACTTTATTTTTTGTAACATTCAATGATAATTTAGTTGTCCAGTCTTTAAATAATCCACAGACTGTTTAGGACGAATAAGATATTTTGAACTATTCAGTTTACGGAAGATCTCTTGAAAAAACTGTCCCTGCACTTAAAACTCCTGAATATGGCTCTCGGTCAGTGAATCTGAAATGACTCTGGACACCAGCGTCGTTTCCCGAGATCCTGGAACAACGTGTAGCGAGGATAAACAATGTCAGTTATGTTTCGAGTTCATTTGAAACGTAATTTATCTTCAAAGTGGATCGTACAGTTGATTTTAACCTTCAATATCACTATAAAACGTAGATGGTTGAAATAACACTTATAAGCCTAATGTGAAGAGGAAAGATTTATCGGTCTTCTGATAGGTAATATTTGTTAATCACTTCAAATGTCACTTCAACTTCCAAGGTTATTTTTGTACCGAATGCTGATAGGTTATGGGCAGAACGAACTTACGTGAATTTATCTATAGATGAAATATTTCCAACATAGCGTAATGAAAGAAGAAATCAAAGCATATAGAGAAGTATAATGAAAAATTCCATTGTTTACCTTATTTGACGGCCCTTGTAGAAGTTCTTTTCCTGTTTGCCGGTCTTTGTGTCTCTGCCATGTTGGTATTCTTTTCACTCTGCAGGGCGTTACCCATTCCAGTAACTCATACATTCAACGTTTATACACAGTGATGTATATATATATATTTCAACCTCCGGAAAAGGCGACGAAAAAATATTTTTAATAAAGCATTGCAAAAAAAACTATGGTCTTTTCGTTTTCGTGTTTCCTTTGAAGACTGGCTCGGGAGAATAATATTCCATATATATTGTGCATTATTGTTTCGTGAATATCACACTAAAAATATCCATGCCGACTTACTGGGACGAAAGCAAAAGTACTGTCGAGTTACTGCAGTTTACCATGTCAAGGGAACCAAGAAATAAAAGTGCAGACACAATAAAGAAAAAGTAAGTTTAAAGGTAGACAGCCTTAGACAACACCGAAGGAGAACGCATTCAGTGTGCGAAGAATCCTGTCACGTGAAGAGGCCGGAGGAAGAGGAAAAGGATCCGTGTGAACTCGATGAAGAAAATATTTTTGGCAACATCCTCAAGTACTTTTCATCAGCTGAAAAGACGTGGTAGTGATTCTGGTGATTCATTAATTCTTTTTTTTGTTACACAAATATTACAAGTTTGTACAGAAGCAGGAAAAAATAAGGGTAAACAGTTTACAAGAATGTCTTAAGCTTGTAACAATCCTCCCAATGTTGGAAGGGATAAACACATGTTCAGACTCATCCACACGTCCAGGGGAGGCTCTTCCAAACTTTCAAACAGAAGAAACAGTACAGGTTTCAGTGGCCTCTGAATTGGAAGGGCAAATGCTACCCTGTCACCAAAATTTTCTTCACCCGCCCAGTTGACACTGAATCAGGAAACAAGGCAGCTGAGTATTATTGTTTAATGCCAAAAAAGTAACTATTGTAAAGCATAATACGTAATAACAGAATTTTATACAGTGCATTATATGATACATTTAAGTAATTTTTCTAATGCACTGTTATTTTTGTATTACAGTAAAATTATAATGAAATGGCTATGCTTTTTTTCTTTCTAAAAATATATATTTATTCGATAAGTAAGCTTCCAAATTGTTGAATGAAACGAAATACAGTGAGCGGGTACCTTAGAGTCTGCCTGAGCTCATCCCTGATTTGCAGCTATTTATGGCGTTTGCACAAACACCGAACAAGACAAGCATATTTGGCGGCTTTTAGTGGTAGTGCAAGTAGTACACGTTTACACACACACACACACACACAGACACACACACACACACACACACACACATAATGTTATGTGGGTGGGGGGGGGGGAGGTGTAGGTGTTTGTGCGGGTGCGTGCGTGTGTGTGTGCGTGTGTGCGCGTGTGTGTGCGTGCGTGTCTGTGTGTGTGTGTGTGTGTGTATGTGTATGTGTGTGTGTATGTGTGTGTGTCCACAACACAAATATAATGTCAAAGACAGGTTGTCCAATTACAAAGGGAACGCTCTTCT